GATTGTTCATTTTTTACGCATACGTGGGAAGCATAGAGTGCAGGCGCTTCTACTGAATTATTTATAAAGTTAGTGTCTATCCCTCTGTCAAGGTCACTTAATCCGGCAGGTCCTTGCTCTCCTCCGCAGGGGAGAAAGGTTCGACAAAATTCGGGGGCGGCACCTAAACAAGGGGACCGTTTTCCTACTAAAATATATAGGGTTTCTGTTGTTATTTATGCGCTCTGGCTCAAAGAGATGATTGAACAAGCGTTAGGAGCTGGGAGGTTCCTGATGACTTGCGTTCGGACGTCCTTCAAGAATGGAGATAAGACAAAGAGAGAGAGCCGTCGCGGCAGAAGCCTAGGCAATGGGGCTGCGAAGGTCTTTGTCTTTGTGCCTCTCAGATGATTCCAGTCTGTGCATCACTTCAGGAGGATGCCAAACCGAGCCCGTATGCCGAGCCGGTTGTGGATTCGCAAACACTATATTCACATGGAGGTGCATGCACGAATTTTGCCATGTCTACTAGCAACCGATGGACGTCTATCTTGTTGACTTTGCGTAACGTTCGATTTGGTTCATTCTAAGCTCCTGTGGCGGATATTGGAATTAGGTAGCATGATAACAAAAACCATCAGTATGATTAAGGCCCATCGCTGCCCTGCTGTGGGTGTCCTAATCCATAAAAATCTTCGTCAGCCGTTGGACATTTGCCCGAGCGTTCGACAAGACTATAGCCCGTTGCCCATTTAAACTAAACCATTTAATGGATTTCGGAAAGGGTCCTGAACGGTTTTGACGATGTAACATTTGTATCTGGTCTCTAGCAGATTAAATTCGACCACACTGACGATATCGATCCATTTGATTCAAGCTCCGGTTCCGCGGCTGAAGAAGGTCGTTAACTCAGTCAATTTATCTAAAATGCTTTAAAAACCCGTGTTTTCGAGCTGCATCCCTGAACAAAAGGCACACCTCATGATTATTGGTCATAAACTGGACGTAGCAGATAGTTCCAAATAACTCGGAGCAATTTTTCGACCAAATTGCAATGAACCGTTGCTACTTGCGGGCTTTTTATATTCCGTCAAACGTGTCTATGAACCAAAAGCAACATGTTGATCAGCACAAAGATTCACGTATACAAGCATCTGTTCCGTCAGTCCTCCTATACTGAGAATTGTGGGCTGTGGGTATGGAAAATAAGTGAAAGTTGGAAGGGTTTTTCAGCAGAGTCTAAGAATCCGCTTTCGATGGGAGTCAACATCGTTTCAAATGGGGCAACCCAAACTCGAAACGGCAGCATCGTGAAGATGTCTAAGGCCATCCAAGAGAGATGACTGTGGTTGTTTTCGTATGTTCTCCGTCGTCCGCTACAAGAGCTCGGTGTTGTCCTAAATACGAAGCCGTTGTCTACCCGGACGCGTCGAAGAGATCGAACAAAACCTTGCTCAAGATTCAAAAGTAGGTACTGGAACTTCGCTTGGGCCTTAGTTTTTGTCATTAGATGGGAGACTAGGTCGAGTTCTCCGGGTCCACAGCTGCAGATCGTTACATATGAAGTCAAGTACGAGACTTATTCGAGACCCGTTATATCAGGCATGCTGAAAGCCGCACCATGTGTAAGTACAACTCATGCGAGGTGCAAACAAGTTGCGTATCAGTGCGTTTAGCGTTTTATTTCTTCAAAGGACTTACCTTGGTTGAGAAAACGTAGTACGCATTTTGCGTATTTTCATTTTCTTGAGTTTCGCCGAAACGAATAAACGTCTTTTCCAACGAATAAAAGATAGAATCTGTAATCAGCTTTTCTTCAGCTTTTTTGGTTTCTTTATCTATGAAAATCGTCATATCCGGATTCAGTAAATTGCCGACAGCGCTTTGTTGACTTTTATGGTACCAGGACGCTATTTGTTTACAGAGTGGAAGGCGCCACGAGCAGACCCCAGTATCGCATCTTTAGGCCATAATGATCTTCGATGCAGACTAACCATCACATAGCGGAGAACGTACGAGTTCCGCCATTGGACTAAAAACGTATATTTCATTGCTAGTTAGCGATCTTCTGGCCAATAAAATCAAGGCTTGAAGCTGATTGGCCAATCGTAGTCGCCTCACCGCGTGCGTTGAATGGCTGATGGCACGCGGCAAGGTCGAACAGTCCGCAACAGTAAGACCGCCATCAGATTCCACTTCCTTCTTTCGAATTTATCCGCCGAAATTGTTTTTTGAGCCGCAAAAGCGTTACCCACAGCACTGTTGGGAAGCATGACGGAAATAGAAAGGGCAGACAAAACTATGAATAAAACCCTTTTTAAATTTACAATACTCACCCCACTCGCCTTTTTGCCTCCTGACCATCTCGAAGCCTACGATTGTCCTGTAACGGAACGGTTTGCAAAAGCTGTCGCTGATCGTGTCTGGGAAGATTTACACCGTCCAATTTTCACTCCGAGCACCGCCGGCGAGGCATTCATCAACTCTGATTTCGACATTTTTGAAAACCGTTTCTTAAAGAACTCTGAGTATGCAATTTTAGTTGTGCCCGGCCAACAAGCGGTCTGCCTGGATCTCGTATATGGGCGGCTGTTAGTTTTCCTCACGCTGCGATCAACGTGGAGAACAAGGTTCATCCTCATTTACATTGGAGATCCTGTCGGTCAGAAATTATTTGAACCCAGCATTTTTCAAACGGAACCTCTGGTCTTTTCTGCATCGCCTGACGTGTGGGATACAGAGACAGAGAAATGGGATAAACTGCTTGGAATATTACGCAGTAAGTTCAGTAGCCATACTGATTTTCGCCTTGTTTTTCGATGAGAAGAGTAGGTGTAAAATCAGAGATCCTGATCATAATCGAAGGCCTATATTTTCTCAAGGGTGAAAACTAATTTTTATGCACCCCAGTACGGTAAACTTTTGTTGATTGTAGCTTTACTTTATCGGAAATAATAAGGCAGCAAGCGAACTTCCTCTGTAGGCTTGAACGTAAAAGATGGCTATCAGACTGCCGTTGTAAATTTCATCAATAAGGAACAATGCTGACAATGCTGGCTTTTGAATGCTCATCTTAGCGGTCGTTCGCAAAAATCGCATGTTCGAAACGTGAATACCTGCGCATTGTGTATTTTGTCAGCCAACTTTGGATCCTAGCATGGTTATAAGCATATTTTGTAGAAAGGATACATACAAACATAGTTAGGAATGCTGCAGAGAAGCTTAATTTGTATACATAATAAATGGGAAATTGAGTTTTCTTCAAAGTTATTAGATGAGGATGGAGACTTTTTGGTTTTAAAATCTTTTCGCAGCATACCGTCTGCATTTTCACTGGTTCTTAGCGCCTCTAAAGAGCATTTGGAGTCCTTTTTTAACAGCAATCTCACGTCACAGGGCAATGTGCTCATTCTTCTTACTACTACATACTTTCTGAGCAGGTTTCATAAATCCTGGGCTCTCAAAAGTACCAATAGGTACAAATTCCCTGAAAATTAATGGGACCTAATTCAGCAGGGCAACTCCCAAATAACCATCATTGGTAGTATAAGATATGATTTTATAGTCATAGGGTGAGGAAGAGTGCATATTAGTCTTCAGAATACTGGACTGGCTTTCTCTCTGCAAACTGCAATGGGAAATGGTCACTGTTTTTTTCCACCCCCGGTACGACTGCAATTTATCGGTTGGGTATGGTGAGATGTACGTTTGTGTGTTGAGTTGCCGGCTTGTGGTATGACAGTCAGGCTGTACTGGTCCCCTCTTAACAATACTTCTGCCCCTCTTACACATGTGAGAGTAAAGCCACTCAACCACTTTTGTGCGAAATCATGGCCCTTCTGCTTGGGGGCTCTGTCGTGAAGGCGTGTCATCAGCTGCACCAATTCCCCACACCAACCCACTTATCGCAGGGGGTTAAGTAAGTTAAA